GTTTTTGACACTGGACTTTGTTATTGGATTATCCCTGAACTGAAAACTGACTGAACTTACCTGTGAATGACTTTGGACTGTATTTGAACTTTGCTTAAACCTTTATTGAAGGTAAAAAAACCTACATTTACTGTACAGTGTATCTGTGTGCTGTGTGTGTATTATTCAAACACTACTCTCAAATATGTCTCCCTGTATGCGCTCATTCTCCTAACGGGGAATTACCTCAACACTTTCCAACAAGCTGTCATCATTACTTTGTAGGCTGCTTTTAAATAGTTATCACTGGTTTATAAAGCAAATCAAAATGACCAGGTATAAAATGTTAGCATGCATGATCACTATAACCATAACTTTTTTAAAAAATGATTTATATATCTGTTACTAAGTCTAACCAATGTAGATTTGCATGGTAAATTACAATACAATTACTTGTTTATTATTAAAGTTACAATTATTATGCATTTTAATGAATTTTTCCAGTGATTATAAAGATAAACACCTAGTATTGTTACCTGTCTCTTTACTTAGATACAGTGAACTATTTGAGAAAAAGAGAAGTCCTGCCACTGTAATTTTCTTTTCTAAAAGAAAAGATCCCATGACTGAATGATTTATTCATTCAACTCTGAAATAGTAAAATGATCAGAAAAAAAATAGTTTTTTCTTTTAATCTAACTCCAGGAAAGTGTGCTACTGCTTGTCACCAGTAGTGCCAAAAGCATTTTCTAATTCATGCCTGGCATACTCACTTAGTTTATTCTATATACAGCATCTCCACTCTGTAAGGGCTCATCTGGCTGGAGCATTAACTGTACATTTCCAATAAGAAAGATACATCAGGCTGGACATAAAGAGATTGTATAATCCTCTTAATGTCAGAAAATAAATAAATAAGTCAATTCTAAAAGATGATGATAGACTCTGTGTGTGTATGTGTTAGTGTGTTTGGGAGGGGGCGGAGACATCATGTTGTTTCCAGAAAAAATAATTATAAATAGGTGGCAAATCAAGAGTCAGAGGGTCCTTGTTTTTTATGAAAAACATTTCCCTAGATCACTCTCAATTAGAATTTAGATGGGTTGGACACTTGAAACTGTCTTTGTCCTTGTGCAGAATTAGTGTTAGTGGAAAGAAATATTGGTGCATGAATGAACTGTTATATTCCTTGACATAGTATATGATTATATTGGTCAACATATTAAAAGTGACATTTTTAGAAATTACACATGAAAAGTGACAGCGACATATCTTTAGGAGTTTCCAGGGTTCATTTGTTTGGCAAGGAAATTGCAGAGATTATTGAACTAGACAATGTCCTGAATTTAAACTAGGGTTTCCCTCATGTGGTGAAAAAGTCACAGCATTTTTACTGTACAGTTGGGTATGGTTCAATAATTATTTGTCAGATAGTACTTGAAGGGTTGAGATCAGCTTGGCACATATTCACCATTTTAGGCTGGCACAGGCACATCTGTTCTTGTAGGCCATGCTAGAGTCCTCCAGAACCATTTTAGTTCAAAATCTAGAAGACAATATATCTTTTAAACCAGCGATCTTTAACCTTTCTGGCTCTATGGACTAGCAGCCGCAGAGTGAGCAGTGGGGATGGTTTCACACACAAAATCTAGATACCATGTATGTGCAGATGAAGATTTGTGTGCTCACCCGCTGCTTGCATGGCCTGGTTCCCAACAGACTGCAGACCAATTCAGATCTGTGGCCCAGGGTTGGGGATCCCTTTTTTAAACTGATCTGTGTGTGTATTTCATGTGTTGGAGCCAAGAGATGGTTTTTAAAAGAGAAGAACAGCAATTACATTATAGTTTCTCTCACATGACAAGAAAAACTCTAAGTGAAGTAATCCCAAGATTTAGATTACAATACTATAAATATGCTAATGCCATACCAATTTCTCTCTTTTTAATTTGATGCAAAAAAAATAGTGAACATCCTTTACTAGTGCTTGGCCATGATACTGAACTGAAATACCAATAAAATGAATACAGACAAGCTGAGATACTACTAGTGAAAACTGTCCATGTAAGTATCATTTAACCAAAGGCGAAATGGTTCTCAAAATGGTTGAAAATTCATGACTGAACTGGATGGCTGCTTATCCTTTCTCTCTTTCTAATGCCTTTTCTTTTTATTTTCTCTTAAATTGTCATGATGGAATAGATTATTTTTACAAAAGATCTGAACAGAATGCTTACCAAAGGCCTGTAAAATTAGATAAAGGGCAGTATAAAATTAGGCTTAGGGCTGCATGTTTACTTCAAAGTTAAGGTTACACAGTTTAGCACTAAAGGACACCAAATCTGTTATATGGGAATGCTTGGAGATTTATATTTCTCAATATAAACTCCAAGTTTTCTTTTAGCCACTCATTGCATTTTTCCAATCAGCTGTGTACCATATATACAATATAACCTGGGCAGAAGTAGCTTGGCTGAACTGATCCATGATCTTCCAATTCAATTACTACAATAAGCAGTTGCCAGGACTTGGTAGCTTGTTGGCTTAAATGACGCTGGAGATGGTCTCAGGTCAGACAGTTCAATCCCAAGCACCGCATGGCAGGGTGAGCTCCTATCACTTGCCTCAGCTTCTATTCACCTAACACTTCAAAAGCATGTTCTATGCAAGTGGATAGATCGATACCGCTTCAGTGGGGAGATGAGCTGGTGCTCTGTGCAGGCAGTCAAATTCCTGATGAATTTTTCTGGTTGCGGTGCCCATTTGTAAGGCAGTTCTGGGGAGGCAGGGGGCCTTGGTGATGCTACAGGTAGAGCCACTAGTCTTTCTTTGTGGTATGAAGCTAGCTCGCCCACCTGTGGCGCACCTTGAGAAACACGCATTTCCTATAACAAGGCTAGTACCTTGGTAAGCCAAACTACTTTTCTGCAATAGCATTGTGGTCTTTTGGCTACTGGAACAATGTCATAAAGGTAAAAGATAAAGGTTCCCCTTGTACATACATTAGCTATTGTTGACTGTCTACTCTGCCTTTAATTTTCTATTCCAAATGGGGAAAAAAGAAATGTATTAAAATAGTAATAAAATAAAGAATAAAACAAAGTCTTATCTTTTATGCTAAGACATTCAACTAACCTATTCAATAATCTGTCTACTGTATTCCAGTAAAGGAATATAACCCATATCTCCCATCCATCTGAAATTTATTTCCTTAAATTTCCTTAAATAAATTTCAGTTCCAAGCAAATATTTTTCTTCTTTCATACTTTTAAGTTCTCTTTATATTGTTCCTCTGTGTATAAACGTCCCATGCTGCTGTTTTAAAGTGTCACTCTGCTATTTTATAATGATTTTATGTAATTTTTATTTGTGTTTGTCTTGAAAATCATTCTGATTTTCTATAAAGTAGCTAGTAAATCTTAAAACATATACTATGCTTGAAAAAATGTAGTATGTTTGAAACAGAAACATATTTTAATGGGAATCACATATTCTATATAATAAATGAGAAATAGGTACCATAATATGATAAATCTGGAAAAGAATCAGTAACATGAAATTGTCCCTTTGGTTAAGATATTATAATTTAATGCTCAGTCTTTGTAGATGCAAGAAATTGTCCTGAGAATTTTATTCAAACCTTGAAAAATAAATGTTCATGTTTCATATTTTATCTAATCACAATTCAGATGAATATAATGTATTCAAGAACAACTTTTTTCTCAATAGAGCAGTTTACTATTCACAACATTTTCCTGAGGCCCCAAGTTAGGATTGTAATTCTTTAAATTAAAAGACTATTTATATGAGTATTACAGGACTTCCACATACTTCGTATGTGTATTAGAGGTTGTTTATATTTACAAGGTATATATTCTCTATATTTTTATTATACTCACCACTAGAGACAGTACTGTATATGACTGGTTTCATCTATTTCAGATTCATCTGACTTATATAGAAACGCAAGTCTCTATGTATGCTCAAGACATATAAAACAAAACTAGTCATGTATTGTCTCTTCCCAATCCTAGAAATTAAAATTTGGTTAAGGGAAAAAATTCTTATATAATCTTGTTTTCTCCTCTGACATTATATATGTAGACTTGAAATAAAATATTTACATTGTATATATGAAATACTAACATTGACTTGGTATAAATATAGAAAATACTAATGATAAAAAGACAGAAAACAATAAAATCATCTATGGGCAATACCTTTAGTAAGCAGAATATATCTGCTCTCAAATCCAAAGAATAGGGAGAATCAATTGTTTTAAAGTACAGTGGTCAATCTTTTCAACCCAATCCGCGTCCGTAGATGAACAAAGGACAGTCTTCTTCAAATCCCAAGGACCATGACATATAATTTGTGGGGCTGCCTATGAATGTGCTTAGACATCCATATATAAATACACTGGGTAATTTGGATAAAATCAGGTTCTTACTAAATTTATTCTTTAGGTAATTACAGTGCATAATATTCTTTCCCTGCTGTTATTTGCCACAGAAAGGGCAATTTGAGCAAGACTGCTTGAGGGGGGGAGGAAATGATAGGAGAGCTTTGTTCCCATCTCACAATAATCTCATTGCATATCATTAGCCCTGCTGAAAAGCAATCTTTTTCCTCTGCCTATAGGCTGATGGACAAAGAAATCCCAGAAGACCAAGTGTGCGCACTTGTGCGTGCGCACATACATACACACAGATAGACACACACACAAAGAGAGAGGGAGGGAGGGACAAACAAAGAGAGGGAGGAGGGAGGGAGGGAGGGAGGGAGAGAGAGAGACTACCATGTCTATAAATTTCTTATCTGTGTCTTAAAGTTGATTTGATATCTTAATCTTAAAGGATGTTACATATCTTTACTCATATTAACAGTGCACAAATAAAACTCATACTTGTAGAAAAAAGTTCTTATTTGCATATTAAGAAACAAGGTTTTATTTTAAAAAAACCATGCATGTCAAGGATAGGAAAAATTACTAAAAACAAACACTTTTTAGTAAGACTTACCTCAATTATTTGTAGGAAATCAAAATTCTCTTCAGTGCTTTACATGTGATTGACCTTTGCCATAAATGTTTTTCCCAAAAGCTTTTGTACTTTCTCCAACTTCCACTTGTAGTCTTACATTCGGTACAGAAAAGATAGATGACACTGTTAAAAAATATTTCAGATTACTAAGATTTAAAAAAGAAAAATAAACTGCTTTCTCGGCCAATTTCTATATAAACAAATTTTAAAAGAAGAAAAGGCATAAAAATACTAGAAACAACTGTATTTTTAGACAAATTTTTCTAGGGCTTCTATATGTAACAAAATAAATGAAGAAGAAGCTGGTACAAACCCAGATGTCCTAAGCAAAGATCACCAGAACTAGTATGCTAGTCATTCATGATGACCAGGACTTTTTAAAATTGTTTGGTGTCTTCAAACTTCAAGCCAAGACATTACATTAGCTAAATTTCTTTCTAATCCTAATTTTCCTTAAATGTTTAAAATATGAATTTGATCAAGAATACTGAGCAAAATGTTTTCTTGAGAAAGATCAACCCTAATTGTTCATCATTATTATTTTCCATATAATAAAGGTTATGAATTATATCAGGATTCTAATTAAGAACATGTGATTCCAAATACTGCAATTCCAACCTACTGTTATTGCTTGCCTGAAGAAAAACAATATCCAACTGAGAAACTTCAGTAAATAAATTCCCAAAGATTCTGTAAGAATCTGTCATATATCTGATGCTTATTTCTATCAATATAGCATCATCCCTCATTCTTAATTGTGTCCCTATAGCTGATTTCTTAAGCCTCCTAACTTTTTTTCAGAGTTCCTCTGAAATGTCTTATCAAGATACAAGTTATAATTCATTATCTTTTGCTTTCTCTGTCTCTCCAGCTATTTGCTCCATTAAAACTAAAACTGTGTCTGATAGTGTGTTCCATTTATTTCTATATTCCAACATACAGTATCTCTGTATTAATGCTGTATATTATATGTCTTATTCCTTCCATAAATGCTCATTTCAGGTGAGACTTTGATTCATATCACTTTAGATAATTCAAAATAACTGTTTATAATCCCTTTGTCCTTTTATTCCTGCTTTGTCTTCTCTATCTTCAATATCTGATTTTAAAATCTCTCTGTCTCTTTCCCTTCCCCCTCCTTATTTTGGCCAGTCAATTTATATTAACTTCACCAATGGCTACTTATCTGTAATTTATATGCAGAAATCTATCAGTATCAAGTGACATTATTCTACAAATATCCTATACTCCCAGTGCATTAATTTTCTTCCAAACAATTCTCCTTAATCTCCAAACACATTAACTTGCTCCCAAGTAAGTACTTTTGAAAGATAGTATTCCCAAGAGACACATGAAAATTTATATTTTCATATACTGTATTTAACAGAGCCAAAGGTCTACCTGAAAGGAAAAAAGTACTAAAGCAATCCAATGAGCTAGTTAGGCACAATGTGCCTTCTAATAATAAAAAGGAAGCTTCCATATTATAATTTAAAAGAAAAAATGTCGATCAGCTGTATTGAAAGTTTAGAATGCTGTCTGATGACCATTACCCTTGCCTAACATAAAACTCTACACATCTCCACATTTTTAACAAAAACTTCCATTTTTTCCTTCTCTACTTATTTCTACCATTCATATATATAAATATAGCCAAACACTGTAAACCTTCCAGTAGAGATTAGTCCAGTTAATATAATTCAGATTATTATTCTGCTAGCACTTTCATGAGGGTAATGATTAAAATAATAATTTCTTGCATAATTTAATATAGCAACATTTTAATAAACAAATGTTATATTAGTACTGAAAGTAAGAATTGCCCACTTGTAATGGTTTCATAATACCTGTGTGTGAAAGAAAGAGAGAAGAAAAGAAGGCAGAGAAATTATGAGAGAGAAAAAAGTATAAATTTATTCTTTAGAAATGTGAAATCATCCATAGAAACGTGAATATTTGAAAAATACATCTATGTCACTAATTGGTAAGCAAGATTAGTAACTCCTAACTTGAGTTATATGCTTATATTTTAATTATTAAGATATGGTAATTACCTTAGATTTGTTGCATATGATTTACTACATAAATATCTACTGATACAAATTTTAAATTAATACACAATTTAAATAGGAAAGTTACAGATACATAGAAAGAGCATCAGTTTGAGTTATATTAATCATATCAATAGTTTCTATAATCATATGAATTGTGTTCAATACATGTTTGCAATATCAATGCATGCATAATAAATATAAACAATTATAATACTCCATATAGGGATTGTCCTTTCTTGCATCTTGATTTATGCTTTATAATGATTATCTACTATAGACAGAAACAGTATTTCTAAACTGAGAAATTTACTGGAGGCATTTAGCAGAACCTTGCCTAAAAATATAATGATTTTTTCATCTTTATTCTCTCCCTTCAAAAGGTTTCACTGCTCCTGATGTTTAATGTTATGCAAAGACATGTTTCGGCCAGTGAATATCGCCTTATGGTTATGCTTCTGCAAATAACCTGCTGTGAACTGATAAAAGGATTAATGCAACCAAAATTCTTAATCTGTGAAATTACAAATTAAATTCTCATATTAAAAATACCACCCTGAGGTATTTTTTGTGGTTTTAATTCCCCTCTGGTGTTCTGCATACATTGCACTTGATAATGACTAAGTGAAGACTGTCTCTGTTGGCAGCCTGCTTGTACAGTGATAATGTGTCGGTATTTAGTGCCTGATAGGACTGGACTTAACCACCAATTGATAAACTAAGTGGCAAGTTGGTAATAAAGCCATATTAACTGGAAAAAAATTACTATAGGATCCATAAACTACTGAAATCCTAATATAATAGTAAGTACCAGCATTCACATTTCAGATGTTAAGCTATATTTAGTTTTTTACCCTAGCTAAATGGAAAAATAAATAAATGATTTTTTTCCAAATGACACATTAAATGTTTGACACCCGTGCACTATGGTTACAACAGAACTCTCTTCTTTTTATAACCTATTCTTTCTAACAATAAACACCATAAATCATAAATTTGTTTTTTCTGCAAAAGTCTACTGGGGTTTCATACAAAACATACTAAGATGTTTCTAGTCAGCAATTAACATAGATATTGTCTTTGCTCTGATTAAAAATAAATTTACCACCTCAGAAATTTCCATCATTTTCACCAAGCCTTGTGCGTAATGCCAAGTCTTTCCATTTATGTACATACAATAATCTTGCTGACATTATCATATACAAAAAGAGTTAATGACTTTTCCCCAACTATTTAAATCCTGAAAGAAAAGACTGATTTCATTGAATATTAAACTTTAACATCCTCTGAAAGTGTGTGTATTTGAATTTGTATTTTCTAGCGTTTTTATTTGTCTAACTCAAAACAAATCTCTCAAATAGTAAAAATTATTCCTCATTATGGCCCTGCATGTAGCCTATGATCCATTCCTCCAAAGCAGGGAGTGAGTCATCTTCAAAAACTGCTACTGAGCAGATATTGGCAGATACAATAATGGGGAAAAAATTGTGGTTTTGTTCAATAGTGGGATTCAAATTTTTTACTACCGGTTATGTGGGTGTGGCTTGGTGGGCGCGGCAGTGGAAGGATACTGTAAATTCCCCAGTCAGAGGTTGTACTTGCTGGTTCTCCAAACTACTCAAAATTTCCGCTACCGGTTCTCCAGAACTGGTCAGAACCTGCTGAATATTATCTCTGGTTTTGTTGCCCTTTTTTTACCATGATTTAAGTCCTTACATGGATTCTTATGTATCTCAATTAGATTCTCTTAATCTAAAGAAGAGTCAAGGAACAGTCCAGATGTTTCATCTTGTATTTTACCTCATAGAGTTCACCTCAGAAAACAAAACATTCCAGCTCTGTATGAGAGGGACAATATGGGACAATATGGTCTACATCTTCTACCATTCTTCTTATTCCAATTGCAAATGCCTCAGGTAGAATTGCTATCTAGATCTTCAAAGAAAATCACAAGGTCTGTCTGAAAGCCAGTCATGTTTTTCAGGCACATGAGGCAAAGTGATCTAACAGTTGTCTCATCCCTACTCAGCCAAAAAGCAACTAGTGAGTAATCTAATAACAGATTAATAACAATATCTTAGAGATCAGACACAACTGCTCTGAGTCAAAAACCTGATCTAATGTGCAGCCCCCAATTTATGTTCAGTTTATTATGACTTGGAACAGATGTGTAGTTGCCACAAATTCCTGAGCTGCTCAGATTTCTGCCAACATCATCAGGTTGGCAAATTGTAAATCCTGATTACCATCAGTCTCAAGGTTTCTATTGCCAGTCCAGCAATGGAATCCAACAGCTCAGGCTAGGATGATGCTACGCAACAGGAGGGCAATCTACCAACAGTAATCTCAATTATTCCTCACAGCTTAACTTCAACCAAAAAAATTTCCAAATGGTCTGTAGAGAAAGCTTCTGAAAACCACCAATAACTTACGGATGACAACTGTCACCCCACTTCCTCTCCCGTTCTTGGCTGGTATCAGACCCAAAATCCATTTGCAAGAGAAAAACACTGTTGGTAAATCCATCTAGCTCCAAAACACATTGCAGCCCAAGATTACCTGCCCAACCCCACATCAAACTTTTTTAGCTTCTCTTCGAGTACCATTTCAGACCTTCTTCCTCCAGACGAACCAATCCCACAGAATCAAAGCACAAATTGTCCTGGCCCACATCAAATATTCCACATTAGTCCTGGGGTGGCAGGTAGGCAACAATAAGTCAGTATCATGGCATCTCAGTAAATAAGTGAATAATCTTAGATATTAACCTGATTTCTGCTTTGCAAATCTTAGCTATTTTGGAAAGCATTATTCCAGAATTACAAATAGAAGTAGTGTTTGAGAATCCAACTTTAGAGTATTGTCTTGGATATTGAAGCTGCTTAAAAAGTACTGCATGTTATAAAGTAAAAAAAAAGCACTAAATATGTAAATTTAAATTCTCCTCCTTTCTCTTTATGGCATCCCATATAATTTTCTTAATCACATTAATAATTAAATATAATTATTTATAGGCTCAATAACAGAAAAGGAAGAGAAAAACCAATTTTTTCCTTATTTGTCTCTCTTTCTTCCTCTTTTTCATACAAAAAGATTATATTTTCTATGTAGAAGTTTTGGTATACTCACTATCAGTTAGATCCCATAGCCGTGGAGGAAGATCACTGAAGTACTCATGGCTCAAAGCTGCCTGTGCTGACAATCTGTTTTTGGGGAAACACTGGAGTAATTTGGAAGCCAGATCTTCTGCATGATCCACGTAGCTTAATCTATAATAAAGGCAAATTCAAATTAGCCAATGCATACCTAATACATATTCACAATTATACTCTGTAATATAATATAGCACTGAGACCAACCAAGCAGAAACATTAACTAAAGTCAATATATTTGACCATATTTTACTATTTAATTACAAAATAAAATGAAATAAATTAAAAATGTACATTTCAAGATGCTTTGAAAATATTTCAGGCAGAACTCGGGGAGGCTTTGGGAAACATGACCACTAATAATAAAACATTATTAGAACTGTAATACAAAATTTCTAAAAATGATTATAAACAAGTTTATAATCCATATTAAGTTAGTTGAATTTCATTTTACTGAAAACATTGAGACTAAACAATGATATTGTTAGAATGGAATATAGAAAAATTTACAGCACAATTCTAAAAATAATTTCTCAAAAATAAATTTCACTGAATTCAATGAAACTTTTTTAGATAATTAAGTATAGGATTACAACCTTCACATAAGAAGAATTCTTTGCTTGCTCAGATAATCAAACCACCAAGACTGATCTCTGGGAACTAGCAACACACGAAGTAGGATATCTGAATCTGTCATGCACCAGATTTTTAGTTACTCCAGCTGCTACAAAGCAATCTGAGAAACTCATTGTTTCTCCATTTGCCCACTGGCTAGAATTTTTAAAAAATTATGGTTGTGTGTTGGGCAACAAGGGAGGTCTTGCTATCCCCTTTTCACCTCTATGTGATTTTTTTCCGAGCAAGGAAGGTGAAATAAGCCACATTTACTCTATTGCTTATAGACATCACAATCTCAGCGGCGAAGAGAAAAAACGAACTCCAGGAAATAGTTTCTGTGGCATGTAAAAATTAGAGCCATATTTGGACCAGAGGTGTTTGGATTGATTTTAATTCTCATGAGGATTCATTTATGCAGCTTACATAGTTTGTACAGTATGCTTATTCCTTCTCTCAGAGACTGGTTAAGCATACTGCACAAGCAGGGTCTTTGAATCCAACATAACCATTGTAAAGAACACGTCTACATTTTTCCTCTTATTTCCTACTGAATTTTCTGTTCACAATGCAGACTCAAGTCAAAGTGTGCTTTCTGGAGCTCATTTTTGCAAGAAGAGGTATTGCATCTATTCAAGAAATAGGAATTGTTACATTGAGTGTTCCCTGACATTTACAAGAAAGCACTTCAGAGTGAAGGGCACAAGTAAAATGTCAGTACATAAAATTCTCACAAAAGCACAGTTGGTAGGCTCTGGGAGGAAAAAAATATTCAAATGTCTATGTATAGTATCTCATAAAATAATGATGATCTAATCTAAAGTAACTTGCAAAATCTGTATTGATTAGGTAAGTCAAATTCAGTGAAATGTGGGTGTGTGACTTTAAGCATCAAGACTTTCCAAATAATAATAATAATCTACTATAATTTACTATAAAAATGTAAATAATAATTTACTATGAAAAAATAATTACTTAAAATTAAGCATTATATTAATCATTCCAATAACATTGTTACATGAAAACAAAAAATATAATTCAGATGCAACCAAAACTGAAATAGAAAAATCTTTGTTATTTGACCAGCTACATGATATCAAACTACAGGTATTTTACAACTTATGACTGGAAGCTTAGTAACTGCTCCAAGTGTATGATGGATCTTCCCGAAGCTTCTTATCACATGGTTTCAAAGTTCTGATGGCTGCCCTCCACAGATTTATGGTTGTATTTTGGCACTTGGCAACCTGCATTTATAGCTGTTTGTAGCATCCTATGATGACATGACTACAATTTTTGGCATTTTTGCCAAAAACAAACTTGTTATAAATAGCTAAGTGCCCAGATCAGGGGTATCAAACTCGATTTCATTGAGGCCCGCATCAGGGTTGTGTTTGACCTGGGGGTGCATGCCAGCAGGGCGTGGCCAGCTTGACATCACTCATGTGAGGACATCTGTGGTGACCCAAGTGCTCTGCCAGCGAAAACGGGTTTCTGTTTTCAGCTGCAACAGCCTCCTGCAACTCTATGCCAGTGAAAACGGAGGTCGTGAGGGCCGTGGCCCTCCTGAGTTCCATTTTCACTGGCAGAGGCATCGCGAGCCTGTACTTCACTGTTTTCAGGGCAGCCCTACAGGCCAGAACTAAGCATCCCATGGGCCTGATTGAGCCCGCAGGCTTTTAGTTTAACACCCCTGGTTTAGACTGTAATGATTACAGGAGTATTGAGATGACTGGAACTTCAAGGACCAGTTGTAACCAGCATTAATTCAGCATAATTGTAATTTTAAACAAAGGAAAATAAACAAAGGAAAGACAGATGTTATCATGCAGAGTGTAGTTCTGAACTCAAGATACATCAATTGTTGAATAGCTAAGAACTCCAACTTATTTTCAAAATTAAGACCTGACAATTTAAAAACAATATCAACCCACTACTTCTGATTTAAAAATCAAGAAAGAATCTCTGAAAATAACCCACAATATATTATTTTCTTATTCAGAAAAACAATTCTTTCTTTCCTTTTTCCACCCAGCAAGTATTGGAGAGATCAAACATCTCTACTATTAATGAATAACCAGGATTCCAAGATAAAATGTTTGACTAAAGTTACCCTGATTTGGTCAGAATATGTAGTGTAAGTAATCCTTGATTAACAGTGACTATTCAAAGCTACAACAGTGCTGAATGAGAGGGACTTATGATGGATCCTCATAATTGAGAGGCACTTGGCAATCTGCTTGCAAATATGAGATCACAGCGTCCTGCAGTCATGTGATTGCCATTTATGACCGTCACTGCTGACTTCCAACAAGCAAAGTCAATGGAAAGCCAGCAAGAGGCCACAAATGGCCATCATGACTATGCACCTAGCACAAACGGGGACTGTCAGAACTGCTCTTATAAGTCAGCATAGCTGTGGGACCATGTCCTTATGACTGCATCCCTAGTGATAGGATTCCCTTTTTCAATTTTTATTGGTAAGTGAAGTAAGAACCAATAATTTATACTTGGTGTGTGCTATCTAATGATGCTCTATTATTTTGAAGTCTCTCCAAGCACAAATAAATACATACATGTATGTTATGAGGGGTTTGTTCTGTGTCTTCAGAATTGGAGGTAGAATGTTTTGATTGCCTCTGAGAACTAGTTTAGACAACATTTCTACGCATTTAATTGACAACTATGGAAAACAGGATTCTGGACTTAATAAGTTTTTGGTCTGATTCAGCAAATCATTTCAGGATTCCTTCAAAATATCTGAATATAAGTATAAAATATTTAGGTCTCAGCCACACAAAATTCACAAGGACAGATTCATTTTTTTTAATTGGTTAGGGTCAGACACATATTTGCAGAGAAGGAAATTCCTTACTTATTCCTGGTTATTGTGACTAACATTATTGCTGTCATTATTCTAGGTAAGCCTGAACTAAGAGGCTATACATACATTTCTTGCTGTCCTTGTCTCCCAATTTGAAATGCTGCTGATATGCTGCCAAATATGAGCTCTTGATAGCTTAATAAGTACTTCAAGAAAATGAAAACTGATACTAGTGAATACTGTGCTGCCAATGTGCCAATGTTGTGCTCTTAGTAAATTTAAGAGCAGGATCTCTTTTAAATATATATTTAATTTTTTAAGTAAACTCTTTGTCCCAAATCCCAGACAGGAAAAAAATTACTTTAAAAAACACTGCTTACAGACTCTCTTCTATGTACCCGGGACTGAACAGTGTGCTGCTGTCCAGTCCAATCCTTTTCACTTACAGCTCATTCATCTTCACTTTCTCTGTCTTTTCAATCCATAACCTTTATTATTTCTTTTCTCTCCCAAATCCTTTAGCATTTGTATTTTCCTTCCTGTTCATCTCCATCTTCCCCACCTCTACCATACTGTTTGTCTGTCCTCTTACTTATCTTTCTGCATTTCTTTTTAGTCCAAAACCATATTATTTTTTCTCTATACATGAACTGTTTTTCATTCTCAACCTTTCTCATTCTCTCCCCTCTACCAGCCTATTTTTCCCTTAACTGTTTAAGGGTCCAAATATGGCCAAGGTAGGATCAGTAGGGACAACCAAAATCAGAAGTAGAGATTGCTGCTCACCATGTCTCCCTGAATTCTCACAGCCTGGAAAGCTTTAGTTTGACAAGCTTCTTTCCATTAGTGTAAACAAAAAAAGGAATAGACTCGATTAGATGTTTTCTTTGAGTTAGAGCCTACACGAATGAAGGCAAATATATGTGTCCCAGGATAATGTTACAATCTGGGTTGGTCACAGAATCAAAAGTTTAGTCTTTTGATCTTTTGGACTCATGCTGGAAGCCATTCTCAGGAAACCTCTCTCTCACCAGAATGTGTGTTTCGGGCTATTCTACGCATAGTATTTATATGATGTTTTGTTGAATGTGGTTTTTTAATTGTTGCTGGGATGTTAATGGCTGGCCAATAAGTTGTTAGCTATTGTTTCTTTGTGCTACCAAGTCCTTGGCTCCTGAGTACTTGATAAGCTGGTGGTAATCAGCATGCAACTGGACATTGTACACCGCCCAAAGTGAGCTATCAGACGAGGAGATCCAAATTCATTGGTAACCTCACATTGCAATGAACAAGGACATACATTCAATTTCAAACTACTAAGAATGTTGGATAAGCAGGTATAAAAATAGCCAGAGAAATGATTGAAGCCTGGAAAATGGGCTTCTTGTCGGTTACCACTAGCCTATCACATACTCAGGAGTAAAGGACTTGGCAGTACAAGGAAACAACTGCTAATGACTTACTGGCTGGCCATCAATAGGCACCATGTAAAACTATGCATAGAATAGCTCAAAGTACACATTCTGATGAAACCGAAGTTCTCTGAGGATGAGATCCATCAGAAGTTTGAAAATTAAGAAGACTAAACTCTGGTCCTGGTGACTAATCCAGATTAGATCCTGCATTTGGAATCTAAATCAACATTTATTATTTACTAACTTTCTTCAGCATATATGTT